AAAGTAGGAAAATGATAGTTTTGGTCAACTTTTACACAGTGACGTAAACTGGCCAGATCATATCAGAAAAAACAGATCACACTGAATCTTACATTATAATCAGAAGATCCAATATTATCCTATGATAATCACACCATAGCCACAACGACAATCACCGTTACTACTGTAACTTAAATCCAGAGTGTACATATCAATGACTCAAACTGAGATGAAACGTTTAGAAAGGTGCAAATAAAGCAAGATGGCACCCTTTATACAGTATATTTTCAATTTCATATTGTGATAACTCGTTGATGGTTTATTTTTAAGACATCCTTATAGGAACATATTAAAAATCAACAATAGTTAACGGAATTGCCTCGATGAAAAGGCAGAACTGAAATAACGGTTAAAGCATGAATCATTAGCATCACATTTACTGCAGGTGTTAAGAGCTAACATATGGTTCAACGATGCTGCAAGTTAAAACCACGAAAATTAAATAAATAGTTTTTTTGTAACAAAAACACCAAAAATATTTTACCAGACTAAATTATTGTGTTGTGGTAACGGTTAATTTCCCTCAGTGTTTATAAACATTATTAATTAGCCCACGACGAACTAATTATAATTGGCAAAACTGCTCAAGCTCGAAAGAAATTCCCGTCAATATTTATTCTGAATGAGTGTCACGTTATCTATATTCATCGGATTAATAAAATTAATCAACCATTATTCTGTCACCAGCTGCTGGCTTTGCTAACCAAACAAGCTAGCTAACTTCTGAAAGTTGAGTTTTGTTGCATTTCTAATCTGTGCCGACATGTCACATCACATTTGCAGAAGAATTCAACTACCTTTATCGTTCTCCTCCATCCTGTCTTTGAGGACTCTTGATGTTGTGAGTTATTCTGATTCTTGCGGTCCCGCGTTCCCACTTCAACCTCTCAAAATTCAGCTCAAAGCTGCCACTGCAACCCTGGGCTGCTGCGCGAGATGGGGTGGGGTCGTCTGTGACGTCAGCACGCACAGTACGTAAATATGTAAACAGAGCGAGAGAAGGGCACGCTGTCCCACCTGACGGGTTTTAAAGCTCAAAAATTACTTTAGAAAAAACGTTAAATAGTAAAACATTGATAAGCTAAGACTCAGACTCAACTTTATTATCCCGTTTAGGGCAACAAAAATTGCAGCAAGGTGCCATTTAACACAGGCTAAGTTCCATGTACACAATAAAAAAATATTACCACAACATACATCATTTATGAGTGCATCTCCCTTACCCCTGCACTCATTTAATGACCTAATGGCCACCATCATAAAATAATTTCTAGTTCTATTTGCCCTGCAAATAGGAACTCTAAAACGATGTCCTGATGGCAGCAGCTGCAGAGTACACTGGGTGATTTGGGGTGCATAGGATACCCTGAGCTCTCTTAAAACATAATTATGGTAAATTACCGTTGGACCAGTGTGGTTAAAACCGATGATCTTGCCCGTCACCTTCACCAGGCTACTCAACCAGCTCTTATTTTACACACTCAGATTACCTTACCAAGCTACAATGCAGAAAGATAAAACAGATTTAATAAATTGTTTAAAATACAGTGTCATCATAGAGGAACAAACCTGAAATGATCTAAGCTTCCTCAGAAAAAAAAACAGTCTTTGTTGAACTTTATTAAATGTATGCGAATAATTGTGAAATATTGCGATTTTATATTTCTAAATTATAATATTTATAGATTTTATAATTAAACGATTATGATTATGGCCATTAGCTAATTTAGAAATGGCTTTAAAACAAATACTGTCTTTATGTGCTGCTGATATAAATGCTCAGACAGGATTTATGAATGTTTCAATTGTTCTAAAACATCTAATTAATATATATTTTTAGATACATATTATAATTAATGTGTCAAATCAAGTTAACCCTATTTAAAAATATATTGACAAGCTTTAGAAATTAAAATAAACCAAATGTAGAACAGTCTACCCAGGTCAGTGTTCACACCATATGGGCCTATAGGCTATAAATACATGAAAACATTTAGACAAATGTTATTTTAAGAAAGATAATCTAACCACATTGATAAATCGAGTTATAAATGGAGTTTTGTTAAATGTTTTATTGCGATGTATTTGCTGAATGTGCACATGATTGGATGGGTGTTGACCCCCCATCCATCTTTACGTGGACATATAACAATTAAGAAATAATTAAAAATTATTTAACACCTGGGCGAGGCAGTGGCGCAGTAGGTAGTGCTGTCGCGTCACAGCAAGAAGGTCGCTGGGTCGCTGGTTCGAACCTCGGCTCAGTTGGCATTTCTGTGTGGAGTTTGCATGTTCTCCTCCGGGTGCTCCGGTTTCCCCCAGAGTCAAGACAGGTGAATTGGGTAGGCTAAATTGTCCGTAGGGTATGAGTGTGTGTGTGAATGTGTGTGTGGATGTTTCCCAGAGATTGGTTGCGGCTGCACCCGCTGCGTACAAACTTGCTGGATAAATTGGCAGTTCATTCTGCTGTGGCGACCTCTAATAAAGGGACTTAGCCGACAAGAAAGTGAATGAATGAATTTAACACCTTCAAGATATTTCAGTAAATTTAAGACATTTTAAGACCCTGCAGACACCCTAAATACAATAAATAGGCTACTCATACATTCTAGAGTTCATCATAAATAATAATAAATAAACAAACAACAAATTACACCGTAAAATGTGACATCTGGAGACATACACTGCAAAAAATGCTTCGTACATTTTACTTTAAAAAAATTGAGGCATCAGCCTTTTGAGTGTTTCAAACTCATTTTATTTTAGTTTGTCCTATTAGACTTTACGTGTTCTCAACTTGCACTTTCAAGTAACAACAATTTTTAGTTTTGGGTTTCTCAAACCAAAAATGTGCTTATTTTGAGTGCATGTATTTGGACTTGTGGGGGAAACCGAACCACCTGGAGGAAACCCACAAAAACACGGGAAAAACATGCAAACTCCACACAGAAACGCCAACTGATCCAGCCGGGGCTTGAACCAGGGACCTTCTTGCTGTGAGGCAATTGTGCTACCCACTGCGCCACCATTGCTGCTGTATTTTTACCATTATTCAGTAAAAATTTAACAGAGCTTTTAAGTAATGCAAACATAATTTTATTCTTTTTCAACCTTTATTAAGTATTGAATCCTTTTTAGTTTTCTACATCAAACAATAAACACAAAAATAGTCAAATGCATTTATTAAGTTGAAAACTCTCCTTTTTTTAAGTATTACAGAATTTATACCACAATGTTAAAACATCATTTTAACTTTATTTTATAATACTCTGGCAAAGGCTACAACTTTAACCCCTTTAACAGAAGCTATAAATGACAGAGATAATGATAAAGGGTTACCGGTATTGCTCTTTTTAATGCACACTAAAAATATTTTGTATTCCTTATGAAAAAAAGAAAATTGGACACTCTGGCAATTAGTAATCCAAGCCATTTTTTCCAGATCTTCAGCGAATAACACACAATTACCATCATAATTTCGACATGATAATGGTAATGATTAGCAGGGCTAACAAAAATGAAGTCCTGCTCCTCCATGAGGGTGGGCTCGGAGTTTTTAATTCACCTACAGTCAAACCGGACACGCCCAGAGGAAGCTGCATGCGCTTATAAATCGTCAATCGTGTTATCATGTTTGTAGTGTAGGAAATGACGCCACCCACTGGGTGACAGGCTTTAATAATCCTACAGAAAGTAGCCTATATTCTAATCTAAACAATCAAGGAAATATTCGTCGTTTTTTTTTTTTTATCTCAAATGGCCCTTTAAATACACCATATGTGATCTTAAATTTGATGTTGTAAAACTGTAAATAGACATGTCTCAGTTTATTTTTTTAAGTTTTAAAATGAAATATGGCGGTTCGTTCCGCTGTGGCGACCCCTGGTAAATCAGGGATTAAGCCTAAAGATGAGAGTGATTATGGTACGAGTTGGAGATAAAATGAATAGATAAATAAAAAAATCATGACAACAACATAAAACTATTTTGACAGTGACAGTCCCTTTTCTTGCATTTTATATAGCTTCGCTGCGATAATGTATTTTAATTATCTGTATTTGTAATACAATGCAGTATTAAAGTTTCCAGATATTTTAAAATGTGTGATGAAATATGTATTAAAAATCAACCAGTGTCAAAACTTGTATATTTAACCATCCACCTCCATTACCACCTGGAAAATACACCTATGCATGCATTCATCGCGAGAAGCTTTTTACTCCAGCGAGTCAGCAGCGACCCACCTGTCCTGATCATCGGGACTCGCGCGACAAACATGGAGCGCCGGCTGTAATGTCACGCGCCGGGGAGGGCGTGAAAGGGATACAAAGACTTATTGGTTCGAGACGTGTAGCCCTTTAGATGAAAAAGCATGCGGAAAATGGGTGCAGTCATCGACACAAAAGACCCCTGGCTGTTCGGCGTCACCCCCATATTCCTTTAACACGAG